AAGACGCATCGACGGTAGAGTTGCCTGGCGTCGTGTCCACATCTTCCACTTGCTGTGCGCTCGCATCTGTCATCTCAACATCAGCATCATCGGTGGTAGCGGTAGCCTTGCCTTTGCCTTTATCCGACGGGGCTATTCGAGGCTCATTCAATAAGCCTTCATCGGCGATCACCTCTTGACCCTTCGAGTCTTTCACAAGAAGCTTAGTTCCCCATTGATCATCTCTAGCCTTAACCCGGGCGAGATGGGTAACTCGGGCAACCATGTCCAAAACGGCATTTGCAATAGCCGGCCTGAGAGAGGGATGATGGCGAGCAAGCTCGTCGAAATTGCCACCAACATTTTGTGCAACGTTCTCATCTGTTGCCATTATGCGAACGTGCTCAGGGCTCTCGAAGATCTCGAAGTAGCTATCGAATGCGCGTGACGCAACAACCATCTTCATACCAAGGTTATTCAAGGAAATCGCATTCAGGACAGTTGGTACTATCGTGATAGGCTCCGAATTTGGCAGAATACCGCGAGCCAGCGGACCATCGCGAGGGGCTTCTAACTCTTCCTGTGACGGAGGATGCGGGCGATTATCAGGCTCAAGAAGATCAGGTGTAGGGTCGTCTTCGGACGAATCGGGACTATCGTCTCGATTCCCAGATTGGTCCGAGTCTGTTCCGCTAGGCTGTCCTATAGGAACTGGACGACCTGTCAAAGCCTGCAGATAACTCTGGACCAACCCTGCTTCAGAAATGGCCGCAAAGCTAGTGGGATCGTTGTTGAGGAAGTCACTTAAAATGATAACGGCATTGGTCCATACTAACGAGCCGAACTTGGTCATATTCTCAATAATCTCGCGTATGCTGTGCAGTAGCGCAGACTTATCGACCAGGTTCCGCAACAATCGATCAGTATTGCCACCAAAAGCAAACCCATTTGACATTAAATGATGAATGAACTTCAAGAGAAATTTGAGGTTCTGCTGCTGATAATAGGGAATCTCGTAATCAACAACTTGAGAACGATGTGCAGGGGGGGTTCCTTTGCCCTCCGCAATGAGCTTTCCTGCGAGTTCAACTTCATGAGTAACTAGGTTGGTGATGGCCTCAAGACCGTCGGCATTTATCAAAGTCTGGAACGAAGCCTGCACGTTATACACGAGACTGTCTAAGAAATTAACCAAAGTGCCGTAGGTACGTTCGGCTATGTTGGACCTAATGTTGAGGATCTCAACCATAATGTCCAATAGACCAGCCGAAATAATTTCAGGAGTGTTACGCGACGTATTGTTAGCCATGGCCATCGTGATATGAAGTGTAAGGGAAAAGAGTTTCTCGCGCCATTCGTCCTCTTCACTCCATTGATCCCCAGAATCGTCCTCCTTCATCCCAGCAACCGCCTTCCTAATGACGTAGAGTAATACACCGTGATTCACAGTTGCATTTAAAGCTGAGAATATATCAGGTAACTTGTGATGGAAACCGGAGATGGCCTCAAGTAATGCGAATGCAATCGACTGTAAATCAATAGGAACTACCATTGCGCCATCGGCGGCGGGATGAATCAGTTCCGCGAGTTGGTATACAAGCTGGAACCGCCTAGGCTCGTCGTTATCCTGCCTGAGGACCTTCTCGATAAAGGTGGGTTCTATATGAATATACGCTAGGTTCTGGATAGCTAACAGACGCGCCTTCAATGCCTGTCGTCGTGACTCGAGTGATCCCGTGAGGGCCTTGGCGACCCTAAGACGATTCAGGAACTCATATTGAGCCTCTTTCGGGAGGTCTGACGGTGCCTTGGCAAGAAGCTGGTAGATTGACGATGAGGATACTAATGCATGAGGTACCTCCAAAGTCTTCTGGCCCGGGGGGCTACTTTCGTCTCGTCCTACAGCCAGAGACCGAGTAGCAGAGGTAACGCTATCCTCTGATGCTCCCTGGCGGCTTGCACGGGGAGTTGTTTGGGTAGCAGCAGATGTGCTACTACGCCTCAGAGGTGTCGGCGTCGAAGGTGCATTCGAGTTTGTACCTCGATCAGGTAAGGTCTGTTGTGTCGGCCCCTGCGAATTGTCTGAGGTAGGATAATACGTAAGCTTTACATCGCCCCAACCACTCCAACGCGAGCCCGAATTCTCGGAGGAATCGTCTCTGGCGAGAGCGCACAAGTCATTGGCATACATAGTTGCCACGTTCTTAGGACTACCACCATGAGTCTTATCTTTACTCTTACTAGCAGAACTAGGGGTAGAAAGAACCGTAGGCTCTAAAGACGAAGACTTGGAAAGAGGCGTCTTGATGAAGGGTTGGGCAAGCTGCTGCACACGGTCGAGGTCGATATTATAGTGATTGGAGAGGAGTGTGGTGTGTACTTGTCGAGTCGTCATCCCATGGATACGTTTTACCGAAGCCTGGTAGCGCTCGGCCAGTTCCACGCCAACACGTAAAGTGGCGCAGATAATCGTGAAGTCTGTGCTGTTCAGAAGATCGTTCAGGTGGGAACTACTGGCATATATGCTGCGGTTTCCACAGTGGTCGAGAAGCATTTGAGTGAACTTCAGAACGGCCACGATCAAGTAGACATCGCCATCATCGCCGTATCCTAGTTCTGAAAGGTTATACGACTCGGTCAATTTCTCTCCTTCGCTGTCAGTTGAGCCGGATCCCAGTAGAATTTCACAGCCAAAATCTCTAGTCTGGGGGCCCTCGTTCAACTTATAAGTAGAACAGAACGACTCAAGGATCTCGTCGAATCGATTCAGAAGTGGTATCCAATGATACAAGTCACCTCTCGGAAAAGGCCATCGTGAAGGGAATGTGGCAAGGATCTTAGGTAACAAGGGTAAGGGTGTGGAGGTCGCATTATCGACGAACTCCTGTAGCCAAGGAGACTAGAGATGCGAGTTAGTGAGCCGTACGTGAAAACGAATATTAAACAAGGACACTTACCAGCGTCTCCTTATGCTTAGGTTGGATGGTCTTCACTATTTTTCCCATGTTGAAGGCCGGGGCGGCAGGGCCGCAAGGAAAATGTCAGCTCCCCCTCCACTACCAATGTTCAGGTAATCGGTGACGACAATTTGATTCGGCGCGTGGGAGCGTCCAAAATAGCTTGGACAGCTCCTCTAGTATGCTATCTCCAGCTGCTCCTTGGTACACAAGGCGGGGTGACGAACCCTAGTACCGTAGAACCAGTGAAATGCTTAGATTAAGCCTCGCCTCCGGATGTCAGCCTTGCGGGTATCAAAAAAAGAAAGACTCGTCTCCGGAAACGTCCCGATGACTGTACAACTCGGTCGGGAAATGATAAATTCGAAGACGAATGAACACGACGCGTCGCAAAGGTGCAGGGGATTTCGTCGGATCCAAGTTAAGTGGATAGTGGGTGGGTGAGGGGCTGCTGATAGATGGATGATGTGAGGTGTAGATACGATTCCGGCACGGCTGCCAGGAAGCTGGAATTAGATCGGTCCAAGCGGGTGCAGGCCGCAGTACCGTAGTTCCAAGGATCAAGAAGGGCGTGCTGATTCGTATAGGAAACGGGGGATAGTAATGTCGCCCGCTTCAAATGTCTGATTACTTACTTGGCTTAGCCGTAGATGAATATGTAAAATGGGCGGAGTCGAGAGGTGTTGAAAGGAAGAAAAATTAAGTTTAGGTAGTTTATTAGAGGTGTTTGAAAGTTCGCGGCTGATCGGCCACTGCCTTTGCGTAATGATTGCGCTGTGGGGCGGTAGTGCTTGCTATGGCAGCCGTGGATTACCTCAAGGTACAGGTACAAAGGTGGGGCACAACCTCTAGCAGGCACGGTAAGCTACCAGCGACCAGGGAATCTACAGGGCGAGCAGATCTTATCGAATTTCCCAACGGTGAAGGCAGCACCTGACTCAGGTACTACATACTGTGTACTCTGGGTACGCGTTCCTTCTTCGCTTCTCTTTTTGCATGTAATTTCCAACGTATACGTACAGACAGCGCGTATAAATGTAAATGTTTATACGAAGATCCCGCAGGCAACGGACTTCGAAGCCAAAACTATTTCATAAGCTCTTATTATTCACGAGTACTTAACCCAAACAAAGGCCTTGATTCATCTCTGCAGAATTTTCATTGAATCGCAGCCCAACCTCCACTCAAGTCACCGTCCATCATGCATGCATCGTGCTTGTATATACATACAGATGGAGACCGTTGCTGCCCAGAACACTCTTCAACCTTTTATTAAGTCCTGGTCGAATCATCAAGGCTCTTTTACTGGGTTAGGTGATTATTACCTCTGTATTACACGCAGATATCTTAAGATGGTCAATCATCTAAGACGTTGATCTATCTTCCCTTAAGTGAATCGACTCGCAATATTCCCACTTCCAACATGTCACACTGTTGTATTAGTCACCACCACGCAAGAGCATTACATATACATATGTGCGTTACTATCGAAAATATTAGGTACGTGTAGGTACAGGTACTTTATTCAACTTCGATCATGTCTACCTACATGTATCATTGGCCACGTATATCCCGTCATATTCCTTCCCCTTCGCAGAATGATGGAGTGTTAGGTGCCTTATAAATATTACCAGGCCTAGAGTGTAGATGATCCAAAGCCGCCCAGAGGTCTAATGTATAGTTCCTCAAGCCTGGCATTTAGGAGAAAATCAAGCTTTTATTAGATAGCATTAGCCTATCATAGAACTAAAATCTAGCTTGCTAGACCTAAATACAACCCCCAGGTAAGGACACGGAAGACAGGACAATAACTATTGGAAGTCAAAAGGGTCATTCCTCAGACGCCGAGTTTCAAATTTAACTTCTGTGAATTGTCCCCGCCCTATAGTAGAGGATCCAAGCAGTTGGTAGGCCGTCTACCTGGTCCCCCCAACCCTGACCACCCCTACGCATTAGCGCCACTACATAGAGAGCGTCCTTCAAGCGAATCAACTCTCCGTCGCCGCTCGGCGTACGGAGTAACGGCTATATATGGCCTGGATCGAGCTATCACCACATTCACCGGGGCTTGTGGTTTAGTGGTATAATACTCCCTTAGCACCTATAAAGTGCAGCATGGGAGTGGTCCGGGGTTCGATTCCCCGCGAGTCCATCGCACAGAGGTTAGATTCCTCTTGTACCACAATTTTTTGTTGTTTTTTCCTTCCAACTTCTTTTTCCACATCCGATCTCCCCATGTTAATCGGGGTTTGACTTACAAATCCACCCGGGGAAGCCGCGCACAAGTGGTCATTTCCTCCGGAACATTTTACGGTCGCATATTTCCCAAATAAGTAATAGCTAGGAGTAGTGCCTTCATCTGTCCCGGCGACACTCGTCGCTTCCCAAACTTTCGCTCTACGTTAATAGAATCACAATGCTAAATTGGACGTTCAATTTATAAGCAGCATCAACTTCTACTATGAACTTCTTTATTTGTTCAACGCCTCAGAGTACTATTGTCAATTTCATTTTCAGCCGTCAAACATGGCGGAGGTCCGAAGCTTTCAATGCACGATGCAGGCGCCATACGCCATAGATTATCATCGCAGTGGGTGTCACCAACATCGATTTAGTAGTTCATCATCAATTAATTCATGCGCAACGAAATATCGTATCAAAACTTGCAGCATTCCGTTAATTGCCCTCGGCAAGCTATAGCTTCTTAAATTCCTCGTACTGCTCATAGACCGACTTTTCAAACAGGCCTTCTAATTCGTTGACTCTCACATCTCCACCCCAAATGAGATTCGTGAACAATGCACCGCAGAGGCCGGCTTCCCTATCAATCCACCATATCAGATTCGGCAAGCCACCCCAGGACATAGTCCCGGCCTTTCTTCTGCCAACTTCGTCTCTAGTGCCGATCTCTCCGCCGAGCCCGTGATCCAGTATCTGATGGTCCATGTCGAACGAATTACCAGCTGCTCTCCGGAGCTTCTCGTCGTTCTTGATTAGATTATTCATGCCCTGTTTAGCCTCGGGTCCCAGCTGCGGCCGGAACATCTCATCGACTTGTTCCTTGCTCAAGAGCCGTCCGTCGTTTGCGCACAAGCTCTGTAGGATGTTCAGATAGCTCTCTGCGGAACCCCAGGCTGCGGCTCCCCCAAAAATATCATCCACGTCATCGTATTGATAGTAGAAACCTCCCGACGAGGGGACTAGCTTTCCGCTGTCATCCTTGAGGCTCATCCCTATCTTCCGTGCTTTTATCTCCGGGTCCGAATCAGGAAAGAAGCTGATGTGCCGCGCGTTTAGCGGGCCCCAGATGTTGGAGCGCATGTACTCCTCTAGATTGACTCCCGAAAGCCGTTCGACGAGTTTCCCCGCCCAGTCCAGGCTCGAGCCGTAGAACCAGCTTTTTCCGGGCTGGAAAGTCAGCGGTTCCGAAAATTCGGAGACAACGGTCTTAGGGTGTGCCGCGGGAGGGCCCCTGAGTTTCGCCAGTCGCTGGAGCTGGGGAGATATAAATGGGTAAGTGAGCCCGGACGTATGTGTAAGCAGGTGCCTTTCAATAAGTTTATGAGCGACATTCAGCTTAAATGCAAAGGCGCCGTGACAACCTCACCTCAAAGTGATCGTACCCTGTCTTTCTTCATAAATTGGCTTCCCTTCCTCATCGAATCCTGTGAGAACTTGCAGCAAGTTGAGCTCCGGGAGGACCTTCCCGATATCCTCGTCCAGCCCAATGTTCCCCCGATCGACTTGTTGCAACGCCGCGACCGACGTCATGAGCTTGCTACAAGAGGCAAGCCACATCACGCTATCCGTAGCGAGCGTCTCCCCATGAGCCGTCTTACCAAATCCTTTGGCATACTTGAATTTCCCGGTAGCATCTGCGGCAACGAGGACCACGCCTGGGATCTCGCCAACCAGGCAGGCTGCCTCAACGATGGGTTCATGAGAGAATTCGGACATTTTGGGTGAACTTAATACAAAAGTAAGTCTTCGCAATTGGGGTGTAGAGGTAATATGAGAAGAGATTGTGGCTGTCGATGAAATATACTCATTCCACATGTTCCATCAACAGCTCTATATACACACAAAAGTCGATGCCTGTCTGCCTAATACGCCACGCCGTCGGGATACGGCAAAATGATTTTCATGAATCCCGCCAGGACACAGTTGAGCCACGAAAACATGTGAATCGAATTGGCGGTTTGTGATGATCGGATGGTTTAAGAGCCTGCAGTAATCTATCCGAATGTCCCTAATTGTACATATTTCACGAGCTGAAGCACACTCTGAGGCCTAGAGTTGAGTCATTCAATATCTAAGCCATTTGACAGTTGAATTTAATATTCAGCTTGTGATTAGTAATGCCGTCTTGCGAACCGACAAAGACATACCACCTTACGACTTATACCTAGCCTTCCCAATATTCTAGGCTCAACCAGGAGGCCTCCCTCTTTACATGATGAAGGTTCTACTTGTCATTTACATTAATATATATTGACTCCTTTGTCATCGCCATGTCAGCGACAGGAACTAGTCCATTCGCACACTCCTGCGACTTTGCACTGCTTGCCGAGATGTGCTCAAACTCGACAATACCATCTTGGACCTATAACAAGAAGGGCGCGTGGTCAAGCACCCCGGTACTATCCAGTACCTAAAAGTCACTGTACAGACCTGCATCCGAATGAGGAGTGCCCCGTCGTGTGCGGCGCAGCTATCAAGATGACCTGGTGAGGTATAAGTGGATTGCGACTGCATCGAAGGGCGTTATGAAAGCAGCTGGCGGACTAGGCAGCCACCATAGAAATATCATAGGATCGCTGAGTTCGCTTGTTGACAATATCCGATCGTGGCTAACACGTCGTCAGTTAGGCAGTCGTGAAATAGGGTAAGTGTCAGGCCTGGACCCGTTAGTAAGCCGGATAGAACCTGGGATAGCGTGGTTGAAGGGTATACGTTTATATGGTTACCGAGATGCCCAGCAGACAAGTTTTAGACATCCAATCAGTACATAGATAACATCGTCACTTCATATCGGGGTAGTAGGCGTTTCTAAGTATCCTCTATGGTAATCTGGTAGATATTAATTATAAGTTATAGAAGCTGCTAGAAGGCTTGCGAGAAACGTCTACGGGATCGCTGGCTAGATCGGCAGGCTAAGGCATATCATGATGACAATAAAAACTCGTTACTTTACGCTCTAGCAATGGGACATGTTATAGCACTGGGCACCACAAACGTCATTGCACTTTGAACTCATCGTATGCCACCTAATATTGGCATCGGTGTGGTAATAAAGGGTTACAATGTCTACTTGTGATAGAACATATAAGGACCTTGGCGAAGGAGCGCTTACCGCGGACGAGTTGAGAATCGAATAATGATCTCGGAAACACCATAAGATCGATCGACGCAGATTCGCGGTGGATGTGTCTATGGTCCTTTTAAACTTATGGATTCTAATTACTGTGAACATATCGAGAAATTACGGATATTCATAAGTGTGATGTACCCATTTGTATCACCTTACCAGCAGTCTCGGAACCACTTCTATACATGAATTTCTCTCTAATACCTGTAACTCATGTAATTGGATATCTATAACCTGCCAGTTGAGGATATATATTAGATATGTAATAGTGAATCCTGGATTATATGATACGCCTTTGCTTTTCTATGTCGGGGACCTCTCACAGTAAGGGCCAAGAGATTCTACCACTCCCATTTCTCTAACTCTACCCCTACCTCGATCCTATCGACACAACTGATTCACAGGACCTCTATGTTACGTGGGTAAATAACAAACATAGGGTAGTGATAGTTGCTTGATTGGCGTACTTCTAATTAATAACATATGTATTAACAAGTAGTTTATCAGTACACAATTTATTTGCCATCTGATTTGAAAAGTTGCGTATGAATTTTGGTAATGGTCTAAAAGGACAGTGCTATTCTATTTGCGCCTACATGATGTATCGGAAATCTATCATTAAGGAACGTAGGCATCCATCTCGACCGGTATTTTGATCATGACTAAGACATTAACATCCGATAAAGGTGCATACACTGTTGCCTCCTAGAGTTCTTTTAAAATTAACCATCAGCCTTATGGAAGTCTAAATCGCCCGAGGAGGTCGTCCGAAGAAAACTTGACCATATTGAGAATCGGTTTTCGTAGCCAAACCTAATTGTTGAATGCACGTGGCTGAAAGCTGCATAATACCTTAGGTACCTAGGGTGCGGACGAGTTTGAAGATGATAGACATCATTTCACCTTACCTTAATATGTATCGACCCGGTCTCATAGCAAGACATACATATATTTCTTTCATGCTATATATGAACGTTTCCATATAATATGGATTTGGCCTTCTGTTCAAAGAAAAAAAAAACAATGCAATATTCATTCCTCGACCTATAATTAAATATATCTTCGCAGACAGCTAAACAACATTTCGCCAGGTGTAAATGACCTTATGCAACGTATGGAACGCTATTCCGAAGTGGTCGGTCAAATCTCAGCACGCATACGTAATGATCCATTGTCTAATGCGCGCAGAAAGGGGTTGCATCAACCAATCGACCTCTTTTATGCCGTGCGGCTTCTAGAAATTCTGTCAGCTTTGGAAGACGCCCCAATACGTAACGTGGCTGGTGGAAATAGAATAATTTAGGAGCTAGCTAAGGCTTTCACATGGGATTCCTCTTCTAGCTTAATTTAGAAACATTCATAAACGACTAGATATAGGCGCTTGATGAAGAGAAGCTAGGAATTAGATAAGGAGATAGAGGGCAAGTAAGTTATGCTCGTAAATCCTGGCGGTGATGTCACGTTGCTGATTTGTAACGGGAGAGGAATGAATGATGTAGTATTGGATGAGTTAAAATTGTGATCATAGATCTCCCAAAGACAGTGCAGACGTTCAATTTCATCTTGCAGCACATTTGTGTTACCATACTCGGCGTATGCTACCCCTAGGCGCAGCAAGAAGCAACGGCAACATACGAGTTGTGCTTTTTGTTAGGCAGGTACTGTACAGTACGGGCAAGGTAGGCGGTAATAAGCCCCGAAAAGAACCCCTGAACTAACAAAAGGAATGGGCTCCAGGGCTGTTAGCGAGGTGTTCTAGCGCCGCACTACACGGCATGCTACAA